TGATATCAGTTAGAAAACCATTGGAAAACCGGTAAGGAGTGCTACATAGTTGTTTCGTCCTAGTTTGCGATTCTTCAGCAGTGACACTCATCGGGATTATACCCAAGTACCTACCGCTTCCAAGGTAAGCTTGTAGACCATCTAGCCACTGGAACTGGATCCAATGGCTCATGAATTCCAACTTCTGCCAATTCAGGACAAAGTTGCCTGAATTTCAACTGAGAAGTAGTAACTTTTGGGGTCTTCCCAGTCGGCCGTGAGAAAAAACACTCACCCATGATATTGGGTGACAGTCGACCTAAAATCATGAATTGATAGTAGTTGAAATTCATCCGTTGGCCATTAGATCAGGTCCCAATGGCTGAATCGTCTACGAACTCGCCTTGTAACAAGTAGGTTATAGATTCGACCTCTGATAGGTGTGTACGTTAGAGGAGTAGACCCAAACTACAAGGTAACAGGTGTCCAGTACTCCCTGATGGTTTTCCGGTGGTTCTCTAAATGATGTCAGCTCGTGGTCAGACTTGAAACAAATCAAACTGATCGCCTTTGCTTGTTGAGTTTGGTATCCCTGGGAATAAACCACACTCACACAGTGTGATCGTTTAAAATAAGTGATAAAAAGAGTATTCTAGATACTTGAAATATCACCTAAAAGTTTCTCTGGAAATTTCTATATATAAATATATATATATATGTATATGCGTTGGTGACACAGCGGTAAAATACTCGCCAACCAGGCCTCATGTGGTCTGGTTTTCGATCCGCAGCCAATGCAATCCTTTACTTCACTAAGCCAGTAATAAGACTGGTAAAGAGGGAAGGTTGGGCATGAGGCTAGCAAACCCATCCCTTAAAAATGAAAACCACTGCTACCGAAACTTTAAGTCTCTAGCTTGAAGCTCTACGTTCCACTGGGAACGTAAAGGAATACATGTTTCTAATTCATATTACATGCAATATATACATATTCATTTATTTATTTCTAATATTTTTCGAATTGAAATTAAATGACTTAAAGTAACCAAAGCACTCTTTTTTGAAATGGTTTTACATTGTTTCGCGTATCTGTCTACATACCTATTTCTTTTATCTAATATGTTTACCCTTCGTCCTGTTCTACTCGTCATTCACTTTTAGTTGTTTAGGAGAGCTCCACTGCTCTGAACCTGAAGGCGCTATAGTTTCTACATTTCTCTTTTCTTTCCAAATGCATCAGCTTCCATATTCTTCCGAAGCTACCTTAATCATAGCGGCTGGCGATGATGATGACAATGATCTGACAGTTTCTCGCCAAGTAGTTTCTGCTCTTCACTGTTCTCACACAAGCACATTCTTATCTAAAGTCCACAAAAACCATCTCACTCAAATGGTCCTAAACTAAATCCATCTAAATGTCATACTGTTCGATTCTGATCTTACAAGTGAACAAGTCTTGAGTGCACTGACTAAATTATCCCGATTTCTGTGATATTGACAACACTGTGGTAGAGAGTTAGTTAATCGAATATCTCCTTGTCTCACCATCACTTCCTCTTCAAATCTCTGTTGGTCGTCTCATATCCTACTGATTTCTAAGAAATTTGTTTCGTTTGACTTACTACTACATAAAGAAGTTGAAACTTTCTTCTGGTAGAACTCAACTAACCTCTTCTGTCTTACAATTTATCAATTGATGTATTCTTCTACCCACTCGACTTTATTGTTATATATATATATATATATATATATATATATATATATATATGTTTTATACATATATAACAACTGATGTGTATCGACATTGTTTTCTCTTCTAAGAACTTCATTTTTATTGATGACAACTTTAGTTCATCGTTCCAGTAAAATGGTTAATGAATTATCTGTCAGTTAATATAATAAAAGAAGGCAATTTATTACTTAAATCGAATATACAAAGTCTCTTAGTAGTCATTTATCATATATATACATATATATATATGTATTCCATTAAGCCATTATTATTATTATTACTATTATAATAATTATTGTAGTTATATGAACTTATAGTACATATTAGATGTGCATTCTTTAAAGATTTTATTGTTCTAACGATAATATAACACAATCACTACATTCCAAACACTAATTATTATTATTATTAAAAAAAAAGAATGGAATTTTTAGCATTTTACACGTATTGCAATAATTTAACTGCTTTTGTAAACAAATAAATGCAGAAAACTGTAAAAAAAAACTGTGAAACTACAAAGACTTACCATACTTTGCAATTCAGTTACTCATTTAAAAAGTTTATAAGCTGATTGCTGACATTTATCATCTCTCCAGCACTCAAAACTTCTGCTAAATATAGGTTGGGTTGAATTTTTATAGCCGTTGGTAGCCGTAGGAGTACAAATTCTCATGTAATTTCACCTGGTTTTACCCGAAGAGATACAATGAAAAGGTTGTGTGCATAAAGAGGATATTCAGTATCTGATAAGATGAGACTTTAGCCAGTTGATTGGGAGAATTAAAGTGCTTATCGACCACAATCATATCAGTTAGTTGAGTCAGAGGTACACCACTTACCCTCCCTGTCTGTCTATCTGCAAGTCTTCAGTGTTCTACGTAATATGACTTAGTCTTCCTTGAGGAGCCCAGTGGAGAATAATGAAAGGCTTGGTGAATAATAAAGTAGAGTGGGTAGAATACATCAATTGATAAATTGTTTGAGTTCAGTCTGAAGAAAGTCTCAAATTCTTTATGTAGTAGTAAGTCAAACGAAACATTTTCTCAGAAATCAGCAAGATATGAGACGACCAACAGAGATTTGAAGAGGAAGTGATGGTGAGACAAGGAGATATTTGATTAACTAACTCTCTACCACAGTGTTGTCGATATCACAGAAATTGGGGGGAATTAAGTCAGTCCACTCGAGTCTTGTTCAGGTGTGAAATCAGAATCGAACAGTATGACATTTAGATGGATTTAGTTTGAGACCATTTGAGTGAAACGGTTTGTGGACTTCAGATAAGTGTGTGTTCGTGTGAGAACAGAGTACTGCAGAAACTACTTTTTGAGAAACTGTCAGATCATTGTCATCATCATCGCCAGCCGCTATGATTAAGGTAACTTTTGAAGAAGACAGAAGGTCATTCAAAGGGAAAGAAAGAGAAATAGACATAGCAAAGCGCCTTGAAGCACACTAGTTTCTTTAAGCAAAGCAGTGGAGCTCTTCAAAACTATTTAAAGTGAACAAAGAGAAGTAGAAGAAGAAGAAGAAAAAGAAAGATAGAGATATCAGATAAAAAATTAGATACACAAAGAAATAGGTACTGCAATCTGAGGCGATTTTACTAAAGTGCGTTTGTGTGCTTAAATATCTTTCATTTTAATTCGCAAAACATTAGAAATATGTGTGTTTATATATTTCATCTGACATGAGTTACAAACATTTAGATGTATGATACGAGTTATGAAATGGAAAGAAAGTCTCTTGAGACTTAGATACAGTGAATAAATCTGCAGTCAACAACCTTGAGGTGAGGGAAATGCTAACTGTAAATGAGTTACACTCACTGTTTATAGAGAAATACATAAAATTCAAAGCTAGTAAAGGAAATTCCATGTCTAAACAGAACGAAGATGATATACACGAACGAGAACTTCGAATGCACATTACACTCTAAATAGGAAGAGAGTGAGTAACAATCACCTTTGATAGAACATTTTTCGCATCTATATTAAAATCAGTACTCTCCTACTGTCTTATCTTCTCTTCTAACTAAAAAAATAACCTAACGTATATGTTCCATTTTTTTTAGGTGTCTAGTTATTCACTTACTCATGTGGAGTGAGATAGATAGGTGGTTAAGTGTGTGTTTTGTTCAAAAGAGCCACTGAAAATTATTATCCCTCATGGCGGCTATAAAGAGGATATAGTGGGTTCGATGCGGTTTCTTATTCTCAATGAAATACCTATTCTAAGTAAAAAGACGGTGATATCAAGTTTTACCTCAAGACACCGTCAAACGAAGGAACACATGAACAGGGATTAAGCCTTTCAACCCAATATATAATCGGGGAACAGGGAATCGAAAATATTTTTCACAAATAACAACTGTGATACTTACTGCACAAGAGGAAGGTCTCACACCCCACCAGGCTAGTCGATAACGCCTCAGTATTTGAACAATGGATGCAGTGTTTGAGTTTGAGTGGGAAAATCACCACTTATTGGTGACGCGGGCACAGCACCTAATGAGACCTAGCAGGAGAGGGGCGAAACTCGTGTCCTAGTTTACTCTACTAGTCATCACTAAATACCTCTGTTCAAATTTTTAATTTAAAAGTTGGTAGGAACATTCCAATCACGTGATTCTCTAGTATTTATTTGCATTTCTAGACGCTTTATTTATGCATTTGTAGGGTCATGATTTACGCACGTAGTGGAAAAATGTTCAGTCAGTTTTTATTTCGATTGTATTTTCGTCTAGTGTATTTTTGGTTATGTTATGATTAATTACAGCTTTTTCTAAAGTATCACTTTGTGGACTTTGTTCATCTACCTGTTATGTAATAATTCGCTGAAATTCAAATCGTATAGATTGTTCGGTTAGAGTCCTAGCAATGCTAAGAGTCGGTAGCTGGAGAGTACTGATGATATGGTTCAAAATCATCCTCAGCGGTGTAGACGCATTCACTCCGTTTGTGATTAGCCATATCCAATAAAACCAGTAATGTTTTTCCATTTTAATATTCTTCCTTGTTATCATTCTTCTTAATCCCTTTGTTAAACTCTTTCGTCTTCCTTCTTCTACTACACGGAGGGTAGTAACTTGAAGTGATGCACCTCGGTGCAAAATTCTATGCTGGAACCGAGTTAATCATCCCAATGATCAGCCAACTAGCTTGGCTGATCACATTTCAGACTTGAAACATGATGAGGTTGGTTATTGTCTTCTGATCATTGAATGTGTGTGTGGTCTCAAAGCTTAGTTATCAGATCTTTTATATTATTTTTATTTTTCTCTATTCAGTGATTCAAACAATCATCAGTCTGCAATTTTTGTCGTCGCATATTTCTACATTTTAAGTGGACTACCAGTGCGACTTGTTCGTAAAGCTGTTATGAAGCTTAGAGAAAGACTAGATCTTACTGAAGAGTTTGATGTAAGCTACATTTATAAAATTTGACAATATTTTATTTCATGTATTTAATATTAAATGTTTTTACAGAAATGTATTCGAACAGAATTGAAATCAAGATTATACACCATAGTGTTATTCATTATTATTATTATTATTATTATTATTACTCCCTTGAGTTCCGAGTTGAACATAGGACTTCAACAACACATCTCCATTCTGTTCTATTCTCTGCGGTTCTCTTCAGCTGCCCAGCCCCACAATCGCCCATCTCCTTCTCCTCACACTACCTCCTCCATATCACCCTTCCACCAACGACCCACTTGTCGCTTCGCATTCGGATTCTACTCGAGTGATAGCCTGCATTACGCGGGATATCATTCGATGACCTCCTCAACGTATACCCGATGAATCCATCTCCATCCTCTCCTACTTATTTGTTGGTTCCCAGCCAAAGATTCTTGTTACTAATTCTTTCTGACCAGTCAGCCGGCCATTTGATCTCCAGTAGGGAACTAGCGAATGTGGCAGCTGTTGATAAAAGTCTTAAACTTGTTGGAAATGCTTTCCGTGACTCACGCGCAGTGCCAGTTTCTGACTCGCATAGAAGGGCTGACTAACTGACTGACTTCACATCCGAATCTTGTTGTTTATGCTGGCTAGCTGAGTGAAGCAGAAGATTTCCAAACTGGTTTCAGGTTGATGAGGGCGTATCTTGACTTTCCGATTCTGGCTAACTTAGACATCTTCATCCGTGCTGAGGGCCTGGGGTTGAAACCATGATTCCTAGCTAGAAAAGTGAAGGAAGTAACTTTTGTCAAATCTCTCCCGTTGATGGTGATTGGTGCTAGTTGTTGTGGCTACTGCTGTTGATTTTGGTTGATTATCTTCATCACCTCCATCTTCTCTATCTTCATCCGAAGTCCTGTCTCCACTGCTAGCCTGATTCTTTTGCCAATTTGTTGGTTTTCGCCTGTCTCTAAGTCTTCGAGTTTGTGTGAATGACATTAGACATAAATCATCCCCAAGGGGAATCCAAATTTTTCAGATGGAGTCTTCTTATCAGTCAATCCAGTGCATTCCTGTCTTTTTTATTCCCAATGCAGCCTGACGCATAATCTAGTCCACCACAATGAAGAATACCATCATGGGTGATAACTACAGCCAACCAGTCTTGTCTTACTCCTTTATTCACTTCAAACAGCTCACTGAGTCAGTTTTCCGTTGTGGATCACCTGGCACGTGGCAGGCATTGTCATATAGCCAGCTGTTGAATGAGGTTGATGCAGACTCAGGCACTGCACGCCTTCGTGCTGATACAGTTTCTAAATTACTTCTCAGTCAATGCTGTCTGTCGAAGGCCTTTTCGAAGTCAATGAAGTTGAAGTAGAGTGGGGTTTGACTGCTATTCTCTGCTTTGTTCTGTGATGATGATGCGTAGAGTTGCAATTTGATCATCACATGATTAGCCTTTCCCGAATCCAGCTTGTTCCTTTTGGGCTGGCGGAGTTCTGTATCCAGTGCATCTTTTATTCTCTCAAAGATGGTGCGACTTAGTATTTTACATGGTGTGGGTAAGAGCTTGATTCCACACTAGTTTTCTTAGAGGCCAAAGACGTCCTTCTTTGGTAGCTTGACAAGATAGTCAGCCTTCCTTCTAATAGGTAGGCACTGCATAAGAGCATAGAAGCGACAGTTATGTTCCACCTACAAATAAAATCACATAATGCACATGTCTTAAGATGAAGCTACGTCGACTGAGTGGAATAGGATCTGTATTATACATGCCTATGCATCGCTTTCCCTACCGATAAATGTCAGGTGACATAGGATTACATGGCAAAGAGATATTGGTGGTCAAACCAAAACTCCTGATTAGTCCATAAAATCTTTAACAGCTAGTTTAAGCCCTGTAAAGAGGTGTAGCCTGGTTGGTTGGGATCCTCGGGACTCTATATACCAATGGCTGGAGACAATTAGTGGTATGTGTTGAAATCGTTCTCAGTGGCTCAGATGAATTCACTCTCTACGATCTCATATATGCATTAAACCCTATTGTTTTCACGTGTTACCGTTCTTTCTTTCAGACATTTGTTCTTTTGAGTCTCTTTTTGCTCATCCTTTGTGTGCTGTATGGAGTTCGGAAAGTTGAAGTGTTGCACATCTGTGCAAAGTTCTATAATGATACCGTTCAGTCGGTTAGGATGAAGATATGTCTAAGAAGAGGACAACTGAACTGGAAACCACTAGGCAGTCACTTCTTCTTGATCAACTAAAATGGTGAAGGGACTTTTAAACTGTACAACATTCAGATTTTAATGCACTAGATGATTCATAGCTCACTTGATCGGAGCATCTCTTCGACAATGTATAATAGGTAGATTCACATCACTTTGAAGTGAATAACCTCCTAGTTAGTTCTAATCTATAGTAGAATTTACTACAAAGCCAGTTCACTATCTCGAAAGTTTATCAAATAAAGTGGAAAATTGACTTCTGTAATATACTCAGTTGTGTGTTGTTGTAAACTTTCTGTGATTGTGATTTCATATTGTGAAAATATCGTGTATGCTTTGATAGTTAGAATTCCATTGAAAACTCTATTATGACGTTAACTTGCTACTGAATATTAATATATCAACACTGGGTTTTATTTTGCCATGGTTTGAAGTTTCTCTAGTGATTGGATTGATTTTCTGGAGTGGAGTCGCTGGTTCCATGCCCAACCTTCCAGCTTTACACTGGCTTGGGACTGGCTAGAAAACTGACTAACTGAATGGTTTCAACTTGGAACTTTGCTCAGATGTGATCAGTTCCAGTTGCTACACTCCATGTAGCACACAATGCTTGAAAAGAGAGTAAAGAAATACTCAGAAGAAAGATGATAAACAGAAATGTAACTGGGGCAAAAAGAATAGTAATATGGAAGAACAACAAAATTTTACTGGGTGATATAAATCACAAAGAGTGAATGCATCTGCGCCAGCCATTGAGAAAGGTTTCGAGCCATATCACTTATTGTCTAAAGCCGTTGGTTTTTACAATACCGAGGACCCCAAACATTCAGGCAGTCTATACCTCTGAATTCTACTGACTGGTTTAGACTAACTGTTGTGGATTTCACTGGCTGATGAAGCCATGTTTTCGTTTGACCACCACTAGCTAACTCTTCTCCAACCTTATCCATCCTAGATCGGCTAACAGTGACCATTCTCGAGGAAGGCGATCGACCACGAGGCATGCGTAACACATGTCCAAGCCACCTCATCCGGTACAACTTTACAACCTCATTGATTAATTTCCCCTCCTCACCTAGCACTTAACACCTAACCTCAATATTGCTCACCCTATTATACCACTTAACACGGGAGAAGGAACGAAGACACCCATGATCAAAGACATCTAGCCAGCACTCAAATGTCTACCACTTTCAATGGCCATGTCCCGCTCATAGCTATCAAGGAGGGCAGAGCGAACTGCTGAGCAGTACACACGCCCTTTTATCGATAACCAGCTAGATATTAGATCTACGCTAGAGATGGTGTAAGTTGGCACTTGCTAAACGAGCCTCCTATATCCATGCTGAAAGAGAGAACTACTAAACCAGGGGAGGACCACAGAAAACAGGACAAAATGAAGATGCGTTGCTGAAGCCCTGTATTCCACTCGGAACCCAAAGGAGCAATAATAAAATTAACCGGTTCATATGAAATGTAAGAGTGGAGTTTTGGGCACTGTGGTAGAATATAATTCCATACTAGATAAGTTTGATACAAAACAGTAACTCAGTATTATTATTATTCCCTTGACTTCCGAGTGGAACATAGAGCTTATAAGTACACCGTTGATTCACTCTGTTTTCTCCAGTCCTACTGAGCTGGCTGCACGACTGCCCATAAGCCCTAATTTCCTCCTCACGAAATCTACACCAATTCACTCCTGAAGAGACGCCCAACTCGTCATTTCCCATTCGGTTCCCACTAGAGTGGCTGATATGTGGTGCTGCTCGAAGGTCTTCTAAACGTCTATCGGATCCATTTCCATTTTTAGTGGCTTATTTTTTGGTCAATTTGATCTTGTTTAGTTCGTTTACAGAGTTGCTTGTTGCGTATCTCTTTTGCGTAATCACCTAATTTTCAGTATATAGCCAGCAAAGGCAGCTGTTAGTAGAAGTCTGCAGCAGACTTCTGGAAATACTTTTGTCAAAGCACATAGAAGCACTAACTTCCCAGACCTCAGTGTTGAAGATCGGTACCTTGTTCATTACTCTGATCAGAGCAGAACACGATAAGGATTTCAAATTAACAGAGGCCTCTCTTGTCTTTCCAACATCTCCATCTGTACCGCCCGCAGCTGAGACGATGCTGCCTACCCAGGTAATTGAAGGAGATCACTTTCTTTACATTTCTCCCGTTACTAGCCATTGGTACTTTTTGTTGTAGGTCGACTATCTCCCTCCCTACTATCTTCTGTATGTTCATTTATAAAATTATATTTGTAAAATATCAGCGGAATTGAAATGATTAATTCCAACGTTTTGTTTGGCGATCTGGTCCGAGCTTCTTTAGGAAAATTAATCGAAATTAACATAACGAAGGTTTATATATGAGAGGAACATCTCTTGTTTTAGAAACTTTGTCCAATCATGAGCAATGAAACAGGCATCAAAATGTATAATAAACAAAATTGTATGAACTGTGATCAAAATTTGACCTCAGACTTTCAAAATTAGTCTACTTTTGTTAAAATATGTGTATATGCAGTGTATATATACCGCTGTACTAAACCAATTCTTAGCATCAGGTTTCGATTCATCCTTGTCTTCACATTTCAAATATCTTTTTGTGAATGCTTTAGGATAGTTATTTGATTCAAGAGTGGATTGAACCAATTTTAGTTCCTTGCTAATATCTTCCTCCTCAGTAACTAGACGTTTGGCTCTGTTGATCAGATTCTTGGCCACAGTTACTTTGGTGGTAAATAGGGGAGCTGAATAGTAATCTAGGTATCTATCCGAATTTGTCGGCTTTCTGAAAATGTTTATTTTAAATTTGCCATCTAATTTTCTTTTTACTAAACAGTCCAAGAATGCCAGCTCATTCTCATCGGATTTAATCTCTTTGGAAAACTTGGTAGTTTCTGATATATTGTTTATTAAGTCAAAAAGTTCATTTAACAAACGATGTTTGATTATGATGAAGGTATCATCTACGTATCTTAACCACATCTTTAGGGGACTAGTAAATCTCATAATTGCATTTGTTTCTAATGAGTGCATAAACAGATTGGCAACTAGCGGAGATACTGGTGATCCCATAGCAATGCCTCCTGTTTGACGATAAAGAACCCCTCTAAACGTAAATAACGTGGATCGAATACACAATTCTAATGCCTTCATAATTTCGTCTGGATTTACAGGACAACGACCACAGAGTTCGTCGTCAGAACAAAGTAAATTATAAATAATACTTAGAGAATCACTAACGGGAACATTCGTGAATAATGAATAAACATCGAAACTTGCCATTACTTCATCTTCTTCAATATGAGTCAAGTTTATTTTTCTCTTAAATTCTTACGAATTCTTCACTCCATGCTCCACTTTCATTTCATATGGACTAACTATTCGATAAATGTATTTAGAGAGTTTGTATGTTGGAGAATTAGCGAAATCCACTACTGGAAGTAATGGAACTTCTGATTTGTGTATTTTTGGTAACCCATAAAATCTACAGGGGCTGCAACTTTTCGGAGCCAGAGTAAACCAAAGTGATACACCGAGCTTCTCTTTTATTGACTGTAACATTTTGCTTGTTTCAGTCTTCAGCTTATTTAATGTCGCCCTTGATTTATTCACGTTGAATTTTTCATAAGGTCCGTCATTCAGATGATTTTCACTTGATATGCTTTCGTCAGTGCCTTTTCAGACAAGTTGCTGGTTACTGCCTGTAAATCTCTCACTCAGTGGTTTCCCCAGCATGTGTCCAACCCATCTCTATATTGCTCTCTACATATTCTCATTTGATTCGTAGCCGGAGTTAATTGGTGCATATTTTCTTCCAATCAGCCATCTGATTGCCAATATTGGGCGAAGGCAACTAATGCTAAAAGTCTTCAGTAGCCAGCTGGGAATATTCTTGGTGGTGCGCCAAGTCTCTACACTACATAGAATCAATGACTTGATATTGGTGTCAACGATCAGAAACTTGTTCCCTGTGTTGAGTACATGAGATTTCCACTGAGACTTTGGAGTAATGAAGATTTGTCTTTGTTTTCTGGTTTAAATGATGCTGCCTACATAAGGGAAAGTCGTAACCTTCTTCAAATTTCTCCTCTTGATGGTGACTTGTGCTTGTTGTTGTTGTTGGTGGTGGTGGTGACGGGGTATCGCCACTATCTCTGTCTTCTCTATGTTCACTTGAAGTCTTGTCTTCTCTGCTTCTTCATATAACGCAATATATATTCATTATGTTGCTGAGATGTTCACTAGAAGGAAGTAATATCTATCTCATAATTTTCACTGACTAAGTGCCTTCTGCTTGATTTGATGGCATTCTGAGAAAGTGATATTCAAAATATTTAGCTGACGAGGTCACTTCTTCAACATATCTATGAAACCACTTATCATTATCTTGTAAATTTCAAATAAAACTTAAGATACCTGAACATCTTACTAAACTGAATAGTCCCTATACAAACGTCAATGAAAAAAACACGTAGTTCAACGAAGAGGCTGTTTCCGGTGAACTCGCTCACTATAAATTATGTAAAATTTTTCTCATGAAAGAGGGTAGTAACAGAAAGAAAACTCTACATGAGCTTTGATTTCATGGGGATCTTACCCATGATATCCTTAAGAGAAGAATTTTATCATCTCTGATAAGAACCTTCTTCCCAGAAAAGTTAATAGTAGTGTTCTCCAGTCGTCCATTGGCGTGCGGAAGCCTGAAGGATAAGATCTCGCATCTTACCACTTCTATGTGCATACATCAATTCAGCTTTTCTTGTAGACACAGGTATACTGGCTGTTCAATTGGTAGCCTCTCTGTCTAAAAGGGTTCATGAACACTATCCCATATGGTTGCACAAAGTTGGTGATGGCTCTATAAGGAGTGTGATAGTCTAATACCTCTTGAACACTGGTCATTCCATCTCAACAGACGTCTCCCTCAAAGTAATCTAAAAAGAGAAAAGAACAATTTGCCAAAAGTAACACAATTTCGTCTCCTTCGCGCATTGCTGAAGCTTTAACCATTCAGATAAAGAAATCGAGGCTATGTATGCAAAAGAAAATTATTCAACCACCCCTACTATCTTGGCACCAACTTCGTCTATTTGTTTTTCTAACTCCTCATAACTCTTGTATTTTTCTAGGACTCTTGAATAACTCCACATTTTCCTTCATTTCTATGTCCTTTCATCCTGATTACAACTCATTTATTAAACTATTCACATTATTACGTAACTATCATACACTTATTCAACTCCTCTTATGCACTGGTTGGTATGAACAACTCTGCTTGTGACAACTGATCACTTTTGCTACTACCTTTCCTTATGAAAAATTGTATATAAGTGAGATTACACTTCGTAAGAATAAGATGAATTCGCCAAATAGGGCCTCTTCTCTGAACAGTAATCCGACACTGAAAGAAGAAATTGAGGTTGATAGGCCATACTCTGAGAAAACAAACCATCAAGTGACATCCATCACACTCCAGGCCATTGCTCGAGTGGAACCCGAATTCGGAAGTAGCGAGTTAGTCGTCAGTGCGAGGGTGATATGGAGGAGAAGATGATGCGAAGAGGAGATGAAAGCATGTGGGCAGACGTGGAGCTAGATGAAAATGTTAGCGGAGAACTGAATGTAATGGAGACGTGCAGCTGAAGCCCTATGTTCCTTTAGGAACTAAAGGAGGCAATACTAATAACAATAGTGTGACACCGCATTAATACTTGCATAATTTATCTATCCAATTATTATTTAGTCTTTTTCATCATCACCTCTTTCTTTGCTCACTTTTTTCTAGTCTACCATAGAATCACTAACTGAGCTAAAAACTCCAAAAGAATTAAGAGATGAACTATTCGCGCATACCTCTGGATATACAGAAGACCTGTTAATTGAAGATTTGAAAAAAATCTATCAATCAGCTGATTTAGAAGCACCCAATCAATCAGAGATAAAACTTGACATCAAACGAGATCTATCCAAACGTGATTCAATAACACCGCAGAATCCACTGAATCAAATGTTTCGACGTCTATCAGTTGATCCAGAGAAAAAAGAAACATTGCCTAAAAAAACTCCCGACTCCCCATCTACTGCACACAGATTCAGTTTAAAGGAGAGCAGTATTAATGATAATAATAGTGAAAGCAATATTAATACTTCTGCTACTACTACTACTATAGGTAATAATATTCATGCAAATAACAAAATCGAGAATGATAAACACCTGTCGGATCATAGCAGTTCAGTATTAAAAGATATCCGAGAAGATTTAAATTCCGCCAGTAAAATCAACAACCATCATGAGAATGATATAAACGATAAGGCTAAAGAGATCGCGGCGGCTGAAATCAAAGCCCTGGACGATTATCTCAACAGTAGTGCTAATCATACAAATCATAATAATAACGGTGAACATCATGGATATGATAATGATATGAATAACAATGATAATAAATTTACTGCAGGGAAAAAGCATATATCAATTGTCTACGCTATATCTCATGAATCTACTGAACCAGACAATGTTGACAAGTATCTGAAAAGTACCACAGAAGAGGATCGTGCAAAAACACGTAAAAATGTGAAAATTGTACATGCTTATTCTAAGTTAGACAGTGAAGTTGATTTTATATAAAAAATAAAAAACTACATGAAACACACTGCCAACCAGTTAATATTTATATATATCGCATATACATATCATTTCACTTTATACGATATATTTTTTATTTTCTACAATTATAACTGTTATTATCATGAATATATTAATAACGGTAATAATAATAATAATTTTATTATCAATACTGTTTTAATTACTATTATTTATGATAAATTAAATAAATTTATATCATACTAATTACTTTCATCTATCGAATCTAATTTTTTTTCTATCATTATTCTTAATAAAAGCCTTTATTTCTACAATATATATATACATATACCTCTTGGACATTGAATAAATGGAGTTTGTTTAAATCGGTCAAAGCGAGGTATATTTGAATTTTAGAAGATATTTGAGTTAATTTCAATGCTCTTCTGAAAATATTTATTTTCAAGAAGTACAGCTATGCATTAAATGTGAATATAAATATCTATAGACAAATATATAATCTTTTGTTTTAATGAAATACAAACATTAATAGAAATAATAACAATAATATCATTATTCTTTCTATATATTACCAGTCTGCCAAGATTTCTGTGGTAAGAGCTGTCTGCCAGCTGAAATCGGTAGACAGCAATTTACGTCAGTGTTTACGTCCCAAGTCGGGGTCGTGAGAAAAAACAAGAACAAAGCCCAACCTTGAGGAACTCAACAACCAATCACGGCAGAATTAGCGTGGGCGGATACGATTCGCAGATATATGGTCTGACCTTCAAGGAAACGGCCACAAAGCGATGACAGATTAACTTTCAGGGAGAAAACAACCAATCAGAAGACGCTGCTTCTCCGCTAGTAATAACGAATAATGATGTACATAAAAATCTGTGAATATCTCTTGGTGTTCTCAATAAACGATCTTTTGCCTGGCCCTTGTCTTCTGCCGTTACATTTGGTGTCGTCGCCTGAGGACAAATGGAAAGCCTATGCCCTGCAGTTTTTGATGGAGACAGGACTTCGAGACTGTTGCGCAGTTGAGTGGCATTCAAGATCCGTCAGCGATGAGGCTGTTACTTGGAACGCTGCTGCGAGGTCAGGTGAAAGCAGCATGTGAAAGTGTGAGGCGAAACACCGACGAATGTGCGCCAGTGTCAGGCAAACAGCTTCCAACGTGGGAAGGAACTCACACCGTCATTGTAAGATGGTGTCACGTAGGTACGATCGCAAATGTGAAGAGAAAGAGAAATAGGTGAACGTCAGCGACAGCCGGAATTCCAGACAGCGAGACAAACGAATGAAGCCACCAGAGCCAAGAAGACGGAATCAACTTCAGTCAAAAGTCTTTGATGGGAGGACAAGTCTGGTGAGAGCTGTCTTCTGTCGTTAAATTTCAAGTGGTTTTCAAGGGAATCGACGAAAAGGCAGGTCTGAACATAATTCGAACTGACTAGTCATCTAGTACTACCGGTTAATGTGACTGATATCCAACTACTCATCTCAATTAATCAGTAGTATGTAGTTTTTCATGCAGTTATGCTTGCTTTCTTGACTGCTCTTTATGATGACGCACTCCTTTACCTGACTAAGCCAGTAATAAAGCTGGTAAAGAGGGGCGGTTGGGTATGAGGCTAGCTACCCCATCCTGTAAAAGTAAACACTGATATAGAAACTTCAAGCCTCTAGCTTGAAGGCGCCCTATGTTCCACTGGGAACGTGAAGGAATAAAAAAACAATTTGTGGTGATCTGAATTATTTCGACTTCCAGTGGAAATAGTGTTGAAATTTCACACACGCGTGCACACGCACACACACACACACATCCAGCTATGTAGGTTGCAAATAGTTGTTTGAATTTCATAACTGCGAAGTTGGACATAGTGCAACACGAAATCTTTCGAAAAAAATTAAAATCGATAGTAAATCGTGTTGCGAATTATTTTTGCAGCCTGAAGCATCATCTTATCCCACCCCTGCACAAAATGTTTCCTTCATCAACTCTGAGAAATGTATAGCAACAGTTTGAAGGCTAATTAAACATGTGTGTCTGAGTACATATCACTCATCAATATACTTGAATGCAGAAAAGCTGGTGCATTCTAACTGGATGAAAATTCAGGCAACTGAGTGATTTAAGTGGTATAAAGTTCTCTACTGTTAGTTTAATTGTGAAGCTTTCATTAATTTTCAGGCGTAAATTCAAAACGAAGTGAAAGTTTTGGGAATTCTCCATAATTTAATAATTCCCGTTGTAGCATTAAGAACACAATATTCAGCGAAGAGACTCTTTTCAACGAATTTATTATCAAGCTGTACAATCGTATATATATGGTTTTTAAGAAATTATATCCGGTGAGGGAATTAGGTCAAAGGTGGGAATAAATGAAATAATAATATTAGTATAAAATGCAGTTAAAATATTTGTGATTATAATCATAGTTTAATGTCAAGTGGTAAAATAATTAATGTCATATATGGAATAATACATGAGGTGTATAGATTTTTTTGGAAAGGGGTACATAATTATAAGATCAGTAGATGAATATAAAGTGTTACATAACATGGTGTGAAATTTGATAAGATAGAATTCAATATTGTAAAAATAAAAACATAAAAATTAATAATTTTGGGTTTAAAATGTCAAGTGGGTCAAGTGGAAAAGATTCAGAGTGAGAATAGTAATAATAATAATGATAATTATAATAATAATCGTAGTAATAAGGGAAAAGTACATAGAATAACTAAATAAACAAAATAAAATAAATAAATGTCTATCCCTCTACGGCCAATGCAGAAGTAGGGATTGTATATATATCTTTTGTACACAAAGGTCTGGCTTAAAGTCATGAATTGCCAAGGTCTCAGTTGTCTTTAGAAGTCTGTAACTAAGAAAACGCGGCTGGCAAGTTAGCATGGGATTCTATAAATGATCTTAAAGTCATGGTCAGGGTTGACAGAGTGACAAAAGTCGATCAGGTGTTCCAAAATAGAGCTACGCACACACTTCCTTTCTCCCTTGAGATAGATTGTCGGCAGTCGTATTTATAAACTATGTGTGTATCACATAAGTAGCAAACAGTTTCCATGAGAGGAACATTGTTAAATAGCGACGTCACATCTAATGAGAACAAGATTTTGCCTGAGACATTGAAATCTTTAATGCTATCTTTTACGAGTTGATCACGGACTGATATCAGTTAGAGAACCATTGAAAACCAGGGAGTACTGGACAGCTGCTGAATTGGTAGAAGTTAGAATTCATGAGCCATTGAATCGGGTCCCAGTGGCTGAATGGTATACGAGCTTGCCTTGTAACCGGAAGGTCCTGGGTTCGAATCCCAGTGGGTGCGTACTGCCGATGATTCCCAAACTAGGATGAAACAGCAGCTGTCCAGTACTCCCTGGTTTTCAATGGTTCTCTAACTGATATCAGTCCGTGATCAACTCGTAAAACATAACTAATCCTTACAAACCAAACTATAGAAAATTTAATGCTATCAATAAATTTAAACGTATCATCATTTTAAACCCAAAATTATTGATTTTTATGTTTTTATTTTTACAATATTGAATTCTATCTTATCAAATTTCACACCATGTTATGTAACATTTTATATTCGTCTACTAATCCTATAATTATGTACCCCTTTCCAAAAAAATCTATACACCTTATGTATTATTCTATATACGACATTAATTATTTTGCCACTTGACATAATTCTCCATAAGTTGTACACTCATCTCTCTTGATGAAAGTGAAAGCGACTGACTGCTTCTGGAAATTCTCTCGTTATCTTGTCCACTTTTATAAGTGCTGATTATATTGCTGAGTTTTTCTCCATGTGACTTTGTGGTATTGTTTGATAAATCTGATCTTTATCGATTTGTTTATTGATTGAAAGTTCACCTAAGTACCATGCTTACTGGAATTCTATAGCATTCTTATAGAATCATTTACTGAGAAGATAAATGCTGTAAAAATCAATAAGGTACAAAGTTTAAAATCTGTCATGAAAAATATCAACAAAACCTTGATATATCTGCAATGAAATGTGATCAGAAGTGAATGGTATTCAATTTTCTATTTATTTGTTTGTCAACGAAATTCCTGGGTAAATTTCAAGACTACGCATCATCATCATCAATAAACAGAACATAGAATGACAATATATGTGTAAAACTTGGGCACTGTGGTAGTAAGTAATTCCATATTAGTTTGTATATCAGATGAATCACACAGTGAAACAGTATTATTTACTGGATCCAGTAAATAATACTGTTTCACTGTGTGATATATCAAATAAACAAACTAACATAGAATGACAGTCAAATCTCTAGCTCAGCCTCACCGACTTTGATAAGACCTTCGATAGCGTTGACGGTGAAGTAATTTGGAAACTACTTCAACACTACAGAGTGGCAAAAATCCTTATGAACTTCATTCAACAGCTAAATGTTGATGATGCTATATGTCAGGTGATCCACAACGGAAAACTCAGTCCTTGAAGTCTTTGAAGGGGAGATAGGAGTAAAATAAGACTGGTTACTATCAACGGTGAAATTCCTAACTACAGTGGAATTGATAATAAAGAAGACTGTGTATGACAGGCCAGGAGAAAGGAATACGTTGGACCGATGAGAAGATATTAGAAAATCTGGGCTTCACGGATAATTTGTGTTTATTGTCATACAAACTCAAAGATCTACAAGAGAGAACCAACAGTTTGTCTAGGAGGCTGGCATTAAAAAGACAGGATTTCAAGTGAACTTAACGAAGACAGAGATGATGAAGACAATGAACCAACTAACAACAGCAACAGGCAGTGTTAATGGAATAAATCTGAAGGAAGTCATTTCCTTCACTTATCTAGGCAGAATCATGACATGCCGGAGGCCATGTGAGGAGGAGATGACAGTCTATAGACAGCTGTGCGGCTAGCTTAAGAAGACTGTAGAGAGGAAGATGAAAAAAGAGATATGATTTTGAAGCTCTATGTTCCACTCTGAACCTAAGAGAATAATAATATACTGAGAAT